GGAATCATTACGTTAATGATTACGTTAATTGTAGGAGGGAAGTAGCATTTTATAGTACAGGTGCTGAAGTGGAACATAAGAGATGCAGAATGAACAATAATTATAAGTGAATGATTCATAAAGTGTTTGAAAGTCACCAGTAAGTACACCTTAATTGTGACCTTTCCAGTTGTATATGAGATCAACTTTGAACTCGTCAGGAGATTTCATAACGCGAAGGTGGTTCTGTTATTCACTGGGTGTTGTGCTAGCAATATTCTGAATAACTGCAAAGTGTAGGTAGGTAGATTCTGGTGATCCCAACGCTTCATTTGATTAACCCTAACGTAGAGGATGGCATCACTGTATCAATGCCTTCGTTGAAGGCGGTACCTTTGTTTAGAAAACCCTCCAAAGAACTGAACAATCAATATTCAGGAGTTAGTTTGTAGGAGTACAATTTTTTTAAAAGTTTGATCGTCATCACAGATTGATATCAGTTACAGAACTGTCGCATACTACCAGGGGAGAACTGGACAGTTGTTTCTTCCTAGTTGGCGACTCATTTGGCAGTGTTCACCCACCTCCAGAGTTCGAACCCACGATCTTCCAGTAAATGAATTCTAACTTCTACCTATTCACGATTTTCATGCAACTGACACCACCAGCCAGTGCTATCTATCGGCGAGTATTTGTCTTCACTTCCGACTGGATAGATCCCCCAGTGATTGCGACTTCTTACTAGAACTCCAGGCAACTTCGTCACGTAGTCAGCCATCAAGTCACTCACTGGAGAGCGTCAGGTTGATTTCCAGGAGTTTTATTTCATGTTTGACTATGGATTGATATGAGTTAGACAGCCACTGACGACAACCAGTCCTGGAGTACTGGACAGTACTGCACAGAATAATATTCAATGCGTCTTTTTTTATTAAATAAAACCTTTTGTATTATTATTTACTCTTTTGTAGGCTCAAATTGAAGTTGAATCAGTTAGTCCGCCGTGTGTAAGTTGTTCATGTATTTATTTATTTATTTGAGTTATACGTAAACAATCATTATATACATATGGGCTATTTTAGCTTCTCTCATCCAGTCTTGAGATTCTGATTTGGGGGCCGATAAAAAAAGAGCATTACGAAAAAAAGTTGTTTTTATGGATGTCTTAATTTATGTAGCAATTAGGCGTGTTTCTCGTCGAATTTCCGAACATCACCCTGCGTGGTTAAGCAAAAGACAAACAAAATCTATTCGTAGCGCTATTCTATCTCATCTTGTAGATACAGAACACAAGATTGACGTTAATCATGCTTTCAGGGTCATTTACCGCATACCTACGAATCTCAATTTTGCCTTAAGAGTTCGTTTACTAAATATTGCTGAGGCCGTTGGAATCCACATTAACAAGCCTAATTTATGCATCCAAAAGAAGTTAGTTCAGACATTATCCTTACCTTGGCCATCTAGGTTTGAATGGTCCTGAATTTTTGTGAAATTTTCCTAATTTTAGTTGATATTCTATTTGCTATTATATCTTTATTATTATAATAATTTAGGTATCTTTAATGAACTGTAATTCCATTGGTCTTACTTTACAAATTGATATTACTGACTACTAGTTTAGAATATTCTATGTACATAAACATATATGTAATTGTAGAGCCGGAAGAGGAATTTATCAAAAAGGATATTCTTTGCTCGATTATTTTGTGTTATATGTAGCTGTTGTTTTTCTAACCCTTAAATATCTTTGTTGTCATGATCCCAGTTACCCTTTTGGATTAATCTCTCACGTTGCACTAGACAATGAATTATAGTTATTATTTTGTAAAGTCAGTCGGCTGAGCTGTTGAAATAGGTGGGGCAGGATTCGAACCTAGGAGACCGGTTAGATAAAAGTTAAATACTTAAGCCAATGAACTACATGTCCCTCTTATATTATCAGATGAAGTTTGGTATATATATATATGAAGTTATCAAACGGTTAAATTCATTACTAACTTGTATGCACATTCGATGTGTAGTACATATTTACCGTGGAGACATTCATATAGTATCTGTGGATACGAAACTATGACTTATTGTTGCTTTAGGCAGTCGACTTTTAACCAGTGGGTCACAGATTCAAACCCCCCCCCCCCACGCCCCGCCGCAACATTCCGTCTACAAGGTTTTGGCAACCAGTTAGCATTGTTAAGCCTCATGTCAATAGATGTCGCCAACTGACTGCATAGAATTGCAAAAATGGTTGTTGGGCAATATTTCATAGACTGTATTTAGAATTAGGATGAACTGAGATGTTATCTAACTGAATGTATTGTTTATTTTTGTGGGCTTATTACGGTACTTTAAACAGTTGCGTGTAGTTTAGTTCACTTACGTCTCAAGAGGGACATGCTTATAGGTCTGTGTTGTAGAATGAAGTCTTTGAGAATATATCGCTCATATAAAATGCTTGGTATGTGTTGTCTTTGTTTTCGTTCTTTTGATGTCATAACTATTGGAGCTGGTTCACTTTGATGACGATTTCTAGTTGTATTCACCACGTTGGTTCTCATACAGTCATTTAGTAGATACCTACCTGTGTGAGAAGTGTATTTAAGTCTTGTATTACTAAGTATACTTCAGACGGAGAAGAAGAACTAAGTAGAGGGTGTTTTGTTTTCCTTTTGTTTTATATAGTTTAGTTCTTTCCAGATTCAAACTGAGTTTAGCAGAGGCTTTTTTCCCATAAAAATGTGTGATTTACTAGTTAGTATATACGGGCAATGAGGTTCGTCTCCGGACCGTTACACTCCGGCTTTGCATCAATGGTTCAAGGGTAGAATGCTCGCCAACCACCTATGTGGTCTGTGGTTCGATTCCCAGCTGACGCGATTTCTAACACTTCGCTTAGTCAGTGAAGCTAGCAAACTCCACTCCGTAAAAACGAAACACCAACGCTACTGAAACCTTAAACTTCAAGCTTGAAGCTTTATGTTCCTCTCGGAATACAGAGGAATGAAAAAAAAGTGTGTGTAGATCGAATTACGTAATATATTGACTTAAGCTGAGTGATGCATTACTAAAAATGCATTGAAGAGTGCACTTCAGTTTCCTGTATGGAGATATTGCTCATTGAACTAAGCACTAAAATTTCATTCATTGGGTATTAGGTTCGAATTCTACTCCACCTACTCCGCTTCTAGATGACTGAATAGTGTTGTCAAGTGGACACATAATAATAAATTTGACTTATAACCTACGAGTAATTGAGTTCTGATTAATACACTATCTTCGGATATTAGATATTAGAAAGAGTTTTAATTGATCGGAAGCATTGGACCTTGATTTCTTCCACAATGATAAATATTTGCAAGGAGTGTTTGAAACTATGAGAAGAGGCATATTCCCTACTGTGTGTGATTTGGATCCGCATGATTTAATATTTGTTTATTCAGTATACTTCTGTGAATGCGGACTAGGGTTAGATCTCCGGCCAACCCCACTCCTAAACCTTACTAAGCCGGTAATAAACACCGGTAAAGAGGGAAGACTGGCAGCTCCATATCCTGTAAGAATAAACCTCATTGCTACCGAAACTTTAAAGCTTTAGCTTGAAGCCACATATTCTACTGGGAATGTATAGGAATAAAATAAATTATACTGTTCTTATCACTGGTGCTTGTTTAGTATGTATAGAAATCAGTTTACTTGTCATTTATGAACTTCTTGACTGACAAGAAAACGAACCTCCTTTTAATATAGTCTTGAAATTTATTCTGTCAATCATTTTCTACTGTGATTATTCGCGAGTGTTGACTCTCTTCCTTTATGGCTGTGAGACCTGGCCATTGAGAGTAGAGGACATGAAAAGATTAGTTGCCTTTGATCATAGGTGCCCGCGTTCTATCTCCCGCGTGAAGTGGTATAATAAGGTGAGCAATATTGAGGTTAGGCACCGGTCGGGTGCGAGGTAAGGAGGGGAAATCAATCGATGAGACTTTGAAGCTACATCGACTGAGATGGTTAATACATGTGCTACGTATGTCTAGTCATCGCCTTCCTCGACGGACAATGTTAGCTGACATAGGGTCAGGTTGGAAAAGAGCCAGCTGTGGTCAAACCAAAACATGGCTTCGTCAGTCAATAAAATGCACAACAGTTAGTTTAAGCCACGTAGTAAGGTGTATACTTCCTGGTTGGGGTCCTCGGGATGGTAGAAACCAATGACAGCTGGAGATAATTGGTGATATGGCTCAAAGTGATCGTTCTCAACGATGTAGATGTATCCACTCCTTGTGACTCATAATTTCCAATGAAACTATATTGTTCTTCATTATTACTATTCCTTTTGTCTCATGTCCCTATTTACTGTCTCTCTTATGCATTTCTTCTACTTTCTTCTCTTGCTCTATGTGCTACATGGAGTGTGGCGACTTGAACTGCTGCACATCAGTACAAAGTTCTATGTCGAAAACAGACAGGCATGAAAAGACTGACTTTCGTTAACCACAGGTGTGTTTGCTTTCTGTTTCCTATCTTAACTGGTAAAATCTGATGGGTAATATTCAAGGTAGGTGTGGAGTGTTGTTAGGAAAAGAAGACATGTCAACTGGTGAAATTGTATAGCTACATTGACTGAGATGGTTAGGACACACGCTGGGCATGCTAAGTAATCTCCTCCTGCATCGAACAATGCTAGTTGACATGCGATGAAGTCACTAAAGAGTTAGGGGGCAGTCAAATCTAAATCTGACATCAATCCATGAATTAATGGAATTCCTTTTGTGTATATATAGTGTGTCTTTTTACAAATAATAATTGTGTATTTAATATTCATAATATTTATTCCATAATAGGATAATGTGTACACTGCTGGAGCTAATTCCTCGATTAACCTGTCGAATTCACAGACAATCAATACTGTCCCAGGATCATTGCCTCCACCAGACCATCATCCACTTATGACAAAATCTGATCCTGTTGGTGTTCTCAGTAGTGGAGATAATCTCAGTACTAATCAATTGCCTCCTCCTCCTCAGTCTATTTCAACAGTAGCACCCATGAATAATACTGCTGCTATTACGACTAATGCTGTCGCTTCTGCCGCTGCCACTGCTACTACTGTCAATACAACTACAACTAATACAACAACACCCCAATCGTTTATTGGCCGTGGTTCTGACGTCGAGATGTTACAAGCGCTACAAGATTTTGTTCAACCCGACGAGGTGTTCATCTTTCCACCGATATCTCGATTAACGCTAAACTTTTTTGTCCCGATTGTTGAGCATAGTTATCGTAGTCTTGGATTGAAACGTCCAAAAATTCATTCAATTGAAAAGCTGTCCTGGTCAACACCACGTATAGCACCGTTTATTAATACAATTACTGAGACAATATTGATTATTATCATCGGTTTGACATGTTTTATTATCTTTCCTGATTCACGATTAGCAGTGAATACACCAGCATTTTATATTATCCTATTTATTGCTTTTATGATACATACCCTGCTGTTAGTATTATTCATCTCAGATTTAGCTGCATGGGCATGGTGTCCAAGACGTCGAGATAATACTAATGTTAATAATAAATCTGTAACAAAAAAACCTCAAAATCGTAATGATTGGCGACGTATTGTAATTCGATTATACGGAAGGTTATTTCGTTGGAAATCACGTAATATTATTGGTGTATTTATATTGATTTTACCGACATCACTAATATTATCTTCATATTCGTATTGTTTATTTACAAGTTATACAACCACATCAGTGATCGCAAAATGGAATACAATCTATTCACCCATATTATATGCCACTTATCGTACACAAATCGGATTATTATTCACATTTATGTTTATTAATTGTACTCTATATACATCATTCTCATCATGGACAAAAACAGCATCAGCAACATTTGTTTGTTTATTGGGTTGCCTATTGATTGGTTTACATAAAGTTATACAATCGACATGTTCATTGGAGCATATTCAATCATGGTATCCTGTTATGCTGAATAGTTTCAATGTATCAGCTAATCAGATACCACTTTCTCTATCAACATCATCATCATCATCAACAACAATGTCGTTGCCGACCTATCCGCTATGGTTATATACAGCTTTATCAGACAATGCGATTAGTGAGTACATCTTGATAGCATTGCTTACACTCATTCTAGTCGGTATGTTAAATCGTGAATTCGATATAAACTTCCGGCTAAGTTTTCATCGAGATTATGAAGCACTACGAGCTAAACAAGCTATTGGTCATCAAAAATTACAAGCAGATTGGTTATTAGAGAATATTATCCCCTATTATATTATGAATGATTTACGTCAGCATAATAAATATTCACAGCATATAGAAGATGCTGGTGTAGTATTCGCCTGCATAGCTAATTTCTCTGAATTCTATGATGAACAATATCAAGGTGGTCAAGAGATGTTACGTGTATTGAATGAAATATTTGCTGATTTTGAACATCAGTTGGCTGCACCAAAGTATAAAGATGTTGAAAAGATTAAAACAATCGGGGCGTGTTTTATGGCAGCGTCTGGATTGAATATGACTGAAAGAAAACGGAATAAACAACCAGATGAACATTTATGGGCATTACTTGATTTCGCCTTAGATTTAATTCATACACTGGATGATTTCAATCGTCAAATGTTTAATTTCCAGTTTGAATTAAAAGTTGGCTATAATATTGGTGAAGTGACAGCTGGTGTCATTGGTACAACTAAATTACTGTATGATATATGGGGGGATACAGTCAATGTGGCGAGTCGTATGTATTCGACTGGATTAAAGGGCAGAATACAAGTGGCTGAGACAGTGGCTAAACGTTTAGAATCACGTTATATATTTGAATATCGTGGTGAGGTGTTTGTCAAGGGTAAAGGGGATATGAAAACCTATTTACTTGTTAGTCGTCGCAATGATAAACGTGATAGTAAATAATAGATATATATAAATATATTTTAAAATAAATGCATAAAGTTCAATGAATCACTTGACTTTATTTATGGAATTTATTCAAAGTATGATAATAATAATTATTATAATAATATTTAATGAAATTAATATAATACTTTATTCTCATTATACCACCTATAATTTAATCTACTTCCGTATGATCTGTTTAGAAGTTTCACTATTGGATTGCATCATGTGATTCTCAATCACTACCCTCCCTAGCCCTCGATAACAAGAGTACTTATTCTCACTTATTAATATTATTATTATTATTACTTCGATATCTATGATTTAATGGGTAAAAGTGCTAATTCCCTTTTTCCTACTTGGTGTAATACTTTTTTTGGGGGGTGGGGTGGGTGGTTTCAGTTTATTTTTCCTTTATTGTTTTTTGCTTTTAATTTTTTCTGTTTTATTTTATTTTGACGTAATCACCTTACACTGATTTCATCACTACCACCATTCGTACTACTGTTATTGCTGTTGTTAAACTTGCATTTGTCTTAGAAATATTATTATTGTTATTATGTGGTTTGATTTTTTCACTTTTTCTTGTGTCTGTTGGGAATCTCCTGTTTTTTGTGTGCACACACAAAGACAGTGTTACGTCACTGCTTCTTATCATGAATCCTTGCAATTCAACACCATTTTCTCAATGATCTGGTATTTATATAAATGTGTTAGTGTCAGCTGTCTTATGATTGGCTGTCACAATTCTGTCCAATCAGCAAGTAAACAATAGTATAAATAATTAACCAATCATGTTCGTCGATTTTTGTTTATCATATGTCGACGCTAAGTACCAAAAGTGCATTAATTTCAAGTTTCTACTGAGTGCACTCAACATATTGTCTTGTAATGCATTTTATCTGGTTTTTGTGTTTCCCCCTGTCTCTGTCTTTTCTCGCATACAAAACTAGAGTTGTTCTCGCTTTCTTCCGTATTTTTCTTTACACCTCGATATTTCTATGAAAAAATAATTAAAAGATTTTATCCCATCGGTCAATAATGACTTTTTTTCGTGTTTTTAGCAAAAAATTTTCCTTCCTTGTGTTTTTGGTTTCTGTCATACTGTCACTACAGTAAAGTGTCATTATTGATTTAATTGATTTAATATTCATACATCAATTGACTTTCATTATCACATCATTATCGCCATATATATGTATACATATTTGCCTGCGTTTTATTCGTAACACTGATATACCTAACCAGTCTCTTTTTGTAGTAGTCAATGTTGTTGCGTAATCCACGTGTGTATTATTGACCTGTATGCTGCTGCTGCTGCTCCTCTTCCTCCTCTTCTCTGTTGTCTGTTTAATTCAGCTAGGACAACAGGGTAGTTTCATGAAAACACCAAGTCTTCAAACAATGAGTGTGATTGTTGTTAGCTAGCTTCACTGTCTGTTGACGTTGTCATTTTGCCATTTTTGCCATTTGTTTTGTTGTAAAAAGAAAATAGATCTGATCATATTGCATGTCTGTGGGGTTTGTTTCTTCTGTTTTGTTTTTTTTCTTTCCCTGGCTTTTTATTTCTTTCACAACTGATGATAATTTATCACATATATTTAAATTAATATCAATAAAAGTAAATGAAAAGATAATTGATGAATAATTCACTTAGTTCTGCATTATTATTGTTATCATTGTTTCCTTTAATTCCTAGAGGAACCTAGAGCTTCAGTCTCACGTCTCCATAGTGTTCGGTTCTCTGCTAGAGTCTTCACCTGGCTCCAAGTCTGCCCACACGCTTTCATCTCCTCTTCACATGACCGCCACCATGTCACTCTTGGACGACCAAATCGCCGCTTCCTATTCGGGTTCCACTCGAGCAATGGCTTGTCTAGTGATGTCACTTGATGGTTTCCTCAGAGTATGGCCAATCCATCTTCATTTCTTCCTGCCTATTTGTTTCACAATCGGTTCCTGGTTGGTTCGCTCCCAGAGATCCCTCTCCGTGGCTGATCTTTTCTGGCCAGCCATCTGATCTTGAGTATTGAGCGAAGACAACTGTTAATGAAGGTCTGTAGTTTGTTTGAGATGCTCTTTATGACGCGCAGTGCAAGTCTCTGATCCGTATGGTGAGTAGCACTGACTTCACATTGGAGTTGAAAATCTGGATCTTATTTTTCATGCTGAGTGCTGTTGACCTTCACACAGACTTGAGAGTAGTGAAAGCTTGTTTTGCTTTTCCGATTCTTGCTTTGATATCCTCGTCAGTTCCGTCTGCCTGTAGTTGAAACGATGCTTCCTAGGTAGGTAGGTGAAGGAGGTTGTTTCTTTCAGGTTCCTTTCATTTATGCTGATTGTTTTCTGTTGTTGTTGTTGCCCAGGAATCTTCATCACCTTTGTCTTCTCTATGTTCACCTGAAGTCCTATCTTTGATGCTTCTTCTGTCAACTTGCTGCTTTTCGCTTGCATATTTTCCAGTTTGTGGGAAATCAGACATATATCATCGGGGAAGTCTAGATCCTCCAAGTATTTTGTGTGAGTCCATTTTATGCCTGTTTCATCATTGCTCGCTGTTTGTCACATTATCCAGTCTACTGCAATCAGGGAAATCATTGGCGATAGTAGGCAGCCAGCTTGTCTTACTCCTGTCCTCACTTCGAAAGATTCCGTAAGTTTCCCGTCGTGGATTACTTGGCATGCAGCATTGTTGTACAGCTGTTGGATGAGATGTATAATTGTCGGTGGCACCCTGTAGTAGCGAAGTAGTTCCCAAATCACCTCTCCATCGACGCTGTCCATTGAAGGCCTTTCCAAAGTCGATGAAGTTGAGATAGAGAGGTGACTGCCATTCCAAGCTTTGTTCAATGATGATCCGTAATGTGGCGATCTGATCAATGCATGACTTGTTTCTCCTGAATCCAGCCTTTTCCGGTCGAAGTTTTTCATCCAGGGCATGTTTGATTCTCTCGAGGATGATACGGTTTACTATTTTGTTTGGGATTAACAGGAGCATAATTCCGCGCCAGTTCTTGCATTGACTTAAGTCTCCTTTCTTTGGTAATTTGAATAAGTATTCTGTTTTCCAGTCCTCGGGTACTTTGCTGCAGTTCTGCATTATGTGTTATTATTATTATTGTTCCCTTGGATTCCGAGTGGAAAATAGGACTTCAACAGCACGTCTCCTCTTATTTTTATTTTCTGCCATTGTTTTTCGCTGGCGCCACGATTTCTTATAGTCTCCCATCTCCTCGTCTCATGGTCTTCTTCATGTCACCCTCGAACCCACGCCCAACTTGCCGTTTTCTATTCAGATTCCACTCTCCGGAGTGTCTGGCGTGCTGCGTCATTCCACAGTATCCTCAGCGTGTGTTCACCAATCCATCTCTATTTTCTTCTTCAACATATTTGTTGAGCGATAGCTTCTTGATGGGTTCGTATCCTGAGTTGATTAATGCTAATTCTTTCTGACTGGTCATGTGATCTTCGTTATGGAGATAGCGAAAGCAGCTGTTCATAAACGTGTGCAATGGCCCATTTGAAAAGATTTTTTGGTGACGGTCCAAGTTTCTGCCGCTTGTATTTGGGTGAGTAGCTTAAAAATCCCGATTGAGTCATATGAAAAGTAGAAGACGTTCAGCGAAGAGACTCTTTTCGACGGCGAATTCATTCACATAGTGCTGTACAATCGCATTTATATATAATTATTTGTGTGTATGTGTGTACATGAGGTTTGTCAAGTTTAGATAATTGATCAGGTAATACAAGAATGATCTAATATAGAAACAAAGTTAATTAGACAGCAACTAAAGTAAGATTGAGTTAGTAAGTTAGATGATGTAATATAATTGACTAGAATGTTTCAACTTAGGTCAGGGCAGCAACAGAAGTAATTACAGGTAGAGACTAAGTAGAGGTGGGGTAGAGAATAGTGCCATTTAAATTAGAACTGAAATTGAGCGAATAAGTTGGATGACCTGACATGAATGACTAGAAATTGAGCGCTGGTCAAGTCACTAACATTGATAGTGAGGTGCAGAAATTAAATCGGGTGGTAATAGAGAACAAGAAGGTCGAAAATGTAAAATATTACAATTGTAAGGACAAAATAATGCTAATGAAGAGACAGAAAAAAACAGAATTCACCTGTCGGGTATTAAGGTAGATTACGTCCATTGCAAGTGTAGTGATTGAACGAACTTCTTCTGTATGCAGAGTTCAGGACTTAGCAATTGAATCGCCATAGCTTATGCAGTTTGAAGAAGTCTTATTCTTACACCTTTAGGAAGACTACTTCGTATTCTTTAGACGACTTTGAAGTTTGTTTGGGGTATAGCTTGGTGTCCGGAATCTATCAGATGTTCTAAGATGGAGCTGCGGGGGCATCGTTTTTCTCCTTTGTAAAACCATGTTGGTAAGTGTTCGGTGATACGTTTGGAAAGCGAACGGTGGGTACGGCTGACATACCTGGCTAGATAAGTGAAGGAAGTGACCTTTTTCAAATTTCTCTCTTTGATGATGATTGCTGCTGCTGGTTGTTGTTGTTGTTGATTGGTTGGTTATCTTCGTCACTTCCGTCGTCTTTATGTTCACCTGAATTCCTGTCTTCTCTGCTTCTCCAAAGCCATGGTGTTGTCTTTCGCCTGTAAGTCTTCCAGTTTGTGTGACACTGGACATAAATCATCCGCGAAATCCAGATCTTCTAGAGTCTTCTAACCCGATCAACTTATTCCTGTCTTGTCACTCCCATGCACAGTCTAACGCATTATCCAATCCATCGCGATTACGAATACCATCAATACTATTAGACAGATAGTTTTATTTTACTCCTTTAGTGGCTTCAAATACCTTGTTAAGCTTTCCGATGTGGATTGACTGACACGTGCTATTATCATGTATCTGTTAAATGAGGTTGGTAAATATATTGGGGCACTGCACTCCATGGTATTGATGTAGTTTCCAAAGTCGATGAAATTGAGGTAGAGGTTTGACTGCCAGTCTGTGCTATATTTGCGATTTGATCAGCACATGTTTTGACTTTCCCGAATCCAGATTGTTCTAGAGGGCGGAGTTCTGCATCCTCTGCATCTTCTGTTCCCTCCAGAAATGACGTGGTCAAGAGCATGATTCCTCGCCAGTTCTTGCAGAGGTGTAAGTCGTCTTTCTTTGGTAGTTTGATGAGGTAGCCTTTCTTCCAATCAGTAGGCACCTTTTCTTGCTTCCAAACGTTTTGCTATAATGG